TATTCTATTCTATTCTATTCTATTCTATTCTATTCTATTCTATTCTACTCTACTCTACTCTACTCTAGTCCATTTCCACTCCTGCTCATGCAAAAGCATAACTTTGTAACAGAACTATATGCTGTGTGCTCTTTTCACAAGTCAGAGGCAATGAATGAAATAGGTATAATGGAGAAAAGGACAGTTGCAAAGATAAAAAGGTCTGAAGGGTAAAGTGAATAATGTTAGTATAAAAAGGTTTAGCTGTATTTTTCTTTTTCCCCTTTCATACTTGGATTTATTTATAAAATAATTTTATACTCCTGTTCTGTTCTTTTCATAATAATACTCCTTACCCTAAAAGAATACTAAGCTGATACATTATTGCATACAGGCTGTAAATGACAGAAGTTATCAAATTGCAGCTGAGAAATCCTCTTAGAACATACTTTTTACAAATGCACTGAGGAATTCGCAGATTATATATTAATGCCTTTAATATTTATTCACTAGAGCCCAGTGTTGAACTTAGCGAGACAGTTAACTGTTAAAATGGCTTCAAAGAAGATTTCAGTGGATGGATTTCTATTAATTACAAAATTTAAATTAATGAAATGTATCATATAGGAACAAGGTCGCTTGTTTAGAGACACATTTTTAAAATACAGATTTTTCTGCAAAGCACCGGCCAAAACTTTGATATGCTGCTGTAAAAAGAAAAAGATCCAATCTGTAGTTCTAGTAAGAATAATAAATTGCAGTCTGCAGAACAAATTGTAGAGGCTTAAAGTAGTAAGTGATTTTTATCTCTTAAGTTTTACTTTGTATTATTGTCCAAAAAATGGAGTTTATACTAAAGAGTATTCTTTACTCTTCAATATGTTTTAATGATAAAAAATGATATAATAATATTTTTTCCCTTTCACAGAATAGCAAACTTAAAAATACAGCTGGCTAAATTGGATAGTGAGGCCTGGCCTGGTGTGCTTGATTCTGAACAAGACAGATTAATGTTAATAAATGAAAAGGAAGAACTTCTCAAAGAAATGCGGTTTATTAGCCCAAGAAAATGGACTCAGACTGATATAGAAAAACTGGAGATGAAGAGAAAACGTCTAGAAGAAGACCTTCAGACTGCAAGAAATACACAGAGCAAAGCTTTAACAGAAAGGTATGGGAATCATTTGATATTGGAATACCTTGTTTACTGTTAGCATAAGTTGCTTTATGAAATGAGTCTCATAAATTAGGGCTTTTAATCTGTGGATTTCAGTGATGGCAGTGAAACATTACCTTGGTCTGTGAAAGAAAAGAAAGAGAAAAAGAGTTGAAAACTGAAAGAAAGTAAAATCTAGACACAGAAGGCATTGTAGACCACGGGTATGTGAGATAATATAATTCTTTAAAAGATGAGAGTTACATTTTGGATGGCCAAGAATCAAGGAAAATTTATGTAAATGAGAATATAAATTTTAAAATTAAGAAACAGTTGTAAAATTCTTATAATAAGATATAAAAAATATGAAATATGTGAAAACATATAAAAAAATCAATATGTTGAACCTGTGCATTGAATGCCTGACTTTGTAAACTAATATTATTTTAAGAAATCTAATTAGACTAAAAAAAAGAATCATATATAACTGAGAAATGAGAAAAGTATTAAACCTGAAAAAGGAGTTAATCTGTATCACAGAATTATCTGTACTAGAGTTGTACTAGAGTTGAATTCATGATATTCTTCTTTTCATTACTTATGAGTTGGAAAACACTAACTCAAACGTTTTTCTTACTAAACAATTCAGTAAATTTGTTGTATTGATGTATGTAAATCCAGGCAGATACAGTGCTTCAGAACTGCAGAGATACTAAAAAGGTAACTGTATTTCAATTTATATTACTCTTTAAATGTTATCCCCATAGAAATTGAAGTTCTGGATGAATGCAATTTGACAGCTGGGTCATCAAGAGCATAAAAATGCTATTTATCCTCTGTTCAATAATTCTGTTGGCTACTAAATTGAATTGTCATGATTGCCTGGATGTAGTAGTAACACCTTATTGTTACAGTTCTAATGACAGTCCCATGGCAAAATGCAATAGTAATAAGTTGGACATTCTCAGTGTAATTGCTGTTTTTAGACTTTATATGTAGGTGGATATTGCTAGAGTCGGTAGTGATAATTTTGACAGATTATACTCACTAAAAAGACTTTTGCACACGTCCTTTTTATTCAATTGTTATGCATGTTTTATAGGCCATGCATTTTCTTGTGAAGGATCATCAGCCATCTCATACAAATAATCTAAAAACTTTTCTCTGTAGAAATTGAAGTGTTCAGACATCTGAAAATATTTAGAATCTAAATCTCAGGTCATTTGATATTCATTCTTTTTGCTACATTCTTGTGCTGGAATGCCTTACCTAGACTAGAAAGAAATTTAAATAAATTTAAAACTTTCTAAAATTACTGTATGTTTTTCTATTTATCAAGGTGACAGTGAGTGGTTGAAGAAAACTATTTTCTCCCCCATTTTACTTTATGTCTTTGTTATAATAAAATAAAGCAATTTAAACAATCAGCTACCTTATTGTGGAAGAGATTGTCTCATGGTATCTTGGCTATTTATGAGGCTCACTGACATGAACGCTTAAAAGCAAAGAATAAAAAATCATTCTCTGGTGCCAATATTCTGCAATATTTAACAGAGTCCTGAAGATTTCTCAGGTCTAAATATTTATTTGGAATTTTTAGAATTTGGAATATTCTGAGCAATTATTTTTCAAATTAGCTCAAGTGGATTCACTCAGTACATTTTTATTGAAAGGTTTCCATTTAAATAACAAAGATTCATGATACTGACAGAAATGTTTTATCAGGTACTTATTATAAAGAGAGAGATTTAATATTCATTTGTTTCAATTACTATCCTGTTGCCTCTGATATTTGGAGCTAACTTGACAGTAGTTGATAACTTGTATTAAAAAATAGGTGGATAAGTTTTTAGGCAATACATTCAGGAGTACATATGATAAGTCTGTGTTAATTAAAATAATGTATTATATATGGATATTTAATATATCTGAATATTTTATAGCAGTATATGGGTTCGTTTGAAATTGGATAAATCTTGCGTCTATTTTGAAAGATAAAGAAGGGAGAGACAGGTGTTATGTTTCAGATTGTTTTGGGGAATTGAAAACAATGGTCTCTATTTAGCCACTTCAATATTTATATTTGTGACTTGAAAATGAGTTATAGCTATTATGTTTGGTGTTTAATTTTTAATTGTTATCTAAAAGTCATAAAGTCTTAATGCTGGAAGTCTCCTTTGTTTTTGAGCTGACAATGCAATCAAAATAATATCCTTTAGTGAAGTAAATGGTACGTTCATACAAAAGATTACCATATTTTGGCACGCTGTTCTTGGATTGCTTTTGTATGGCTCCCTGCATGTAAAGCCTCTGAATCTTGCAACTTCCAAAAGATTCTGAGGACTGCTTTGTTCTTTTGGGAGAATGTGAATGTGGAAATGCGATAGCACTGCAGGAACAGTGCCTGTAACAGATTCCAGTGCAAAGTATGATAGTACATAGTCTTGCTTCACGATAAAATATTCCCACTTACAGCAAGCACTACCCTCAAAGTAACTCTTGTTCTGCCTCGTTCTCTAGAGAAACTAGCACACTACAAGATGAATAACATTCACAACAAGATTTAACATTTTTACACAATTCTTTCTTTACTTGAAATTTATCTTAAATTATTTCATTTCTCTGGAAAAGAGCTAAAACCCAGAAAGAATCTGGTACTGTCTTTTCCAACTATTTTATTAACAGACAGTTGCTTTAGGATTAAAATTGGGAATGGGCAGGGTTAAGGGCAAGGGATTGAAAGAGAGATTAACTTATTAGCCAATTATGCTGAAGTAGGTTACATGTGAGGCAGATTACAAGTATCTTATTAATAAACAATTGTAACGAGTTTAAAATCCATTAAGTTAGCTGAGATCTTTTGAGATAACCTGAACTCTTATATGGGTTCTGTGGGTTCCACAATTTCTCTCTCTCAATTGTACTGTTGAAATCTTGTTCTGTGATCTGCAGTAGAGTGAAATGATTTGATATTATCTTGTTCTTGTTTCAGTCCTGATGTTAAACATACTCATTAATTCTTTTGTACAAAATTTATTGTTGTCCTAACAGAATCCGGAGGGATATCGCTGACTGGTGATAGCATATGTCACATTAGAGCAGGCCCGTCAAACTGGTGGCCCGAGGGTCAGATGCATCACGCTCAGGCCATGGCCACCCTAGCTCCGCAAAGGCAAAAAAAGTCATGATACATCATATCATGTGATGCGATCAAATTTTACACCCGTGCATTAGAGGAAGAGCATGGGAAGGCATTTCTATCTAAATCTGTGTGCACTTGTTTAAATGCTACATCAGTTAGCCCCTCTATGAATCTGATAAAGTGATCTGCATCTCATGAAAGCTTGTGTCTTTAATCAAATTTGTTAATTAGCAAAGGTGCTATCAGACATCTCCATTTTTTTTTTTTTACTTTTAACATTTAGCCAAAGGAAAGTTCTCCCACAGCCTTCTCCTCTCTGAATGGAAAATCATTTTGTTTATGGACTAGCAGAAGTTCCCTGGTAGGAGGGAGACAAGCAATAAGCTATGTGTTAAGGTAGAAGTTGTGGGCAGCTAAAATAATCCCCCAGGCTCTGGTTAAAATTGGAATTTGTGGAAAGAAGGATTTGGATGACAAATTGGCACAGAGATAACATGTGTTCCAAAGATTGATTGTTCTCTAGCAGAATAAGAAAAAGTTAGCCAAGAATTGTGCTCAGTTTATTTTTTTTCTGTATGTTTAAATATAATGATTTTCTAGTTTATCATGATTTTGTTTCAACTGATCTGCTTTCTAGTGATTGTTGTCTCTATACAAGCTCGTGTGTCTTTTATGAAAATTGTTCCTCTTTATATAGAAACTACTTCAAAATAGTGAATTTGCATAATCTCTGGATCCTTCTTATTACCCTATATTATTTTAATGAAGGTTATTGTAAGATGTTTATGATTTGAGTAGCTATATACTATTATTTTTTCTGCCATCAATTGTTTTGCAAAGAACTACTTAAAATTAAAATATTTTTGCATTCTTCCTACTTCTTTGTTAAAGCTTGATTCTATTTATTGACCTCACCCCTTTCCTAAGAGGTCTATAGGGGGCATGCATAAGCGCACCAAAACGTGCCTACCGTCCCTGTCCTATTGTTTCTTTTTTTTCTTATTCGTATTTCATGTATTTATAACTTATACCTGTTATCTAATAATTGTTTGATAAAATAAATAAATATTTTTTTTCTTTTGCATTGGTCTCTTCCCACAAGGAAGAAGGCTAACTTCTCTAGTTCCAAGCCTCACTTACATGAGCAAGAATTTGCGCTAAAGAACTTATTTTATTTTTATTTTTTCTCTCTCTTCTACTTGTCATTAAACTGCAGGCGGTTGAATACCATACTTCTCTGACACCACAGTTGACATCACAGCAGCAGTATTATAATCTTGCCTTTGTATATATTTTCTTTAGGTTGAAGTTAAGCAGTAAAAGAAATCAGTTGGCTCAAGAACTAGAGGAAACAACACGATTAGTAGCAGTGTTGCATGTGCAATTGAAAAAGTAAGTGTCCCACACTACTCAACAAAGTTTTGTATCAAAAAAAGGCCTCTGAACATAAATGCAAAAATGATTTCCCTTAGCATTACAAATGGCAACTTGGTCTTATTAAGAGACAACTCTTTGAAATAGAGTAGAAATGCAAAAAAGTGTCACGGATGCTTAGACAGTAATAATATAGTGACATATATTCTGCAGTATCTAGCAGGTATTTCATAAAATAAGGATAATAAGCTGAAATAGTAACTCTTCAAAAATTCAATGATGGAAAAAACAGATAAAATGAAGAGCAGTTCTGCTATTTCATCTGTGTAACAATTTTGTGACATAGATTAGGCTAAGAGTTAGGAAACAGTTCATCTAGAGCAGGGGTGTCAAACCTTGGCAACTTTAAGACTTGTGGACTTCAACTCCCAGAATTCCT